CAGCTCCAGGTTGAGCTGTTGTTCAGCATCTTAGCTGTGGAGGGCAGTGTCACTGGCCCTCATATGTGGGATCCGAACCGGGGCCCTCTGGCGTCCCAAGCCAGTTCTTAACCATCGCGCCACTCGGCCAGCCCGATCCACTGGTTTTTAAAGCATGTGTTGTTTAATTTTCCCCAGTTTAAGAATTTTCCATTTTTATTTCTTCTATCAGTTTCTAACTTTATTCCATTGTGGTGGGAGAAGATACTTTGTATGAGATCTGTTAATGTAAGAAATGTCCAAACCTGTAAAGAATTTTTATAGGGTCGCTGAGTGGCGTGTTGGTTAAGAGTTGGCTTGAGACACCAGCTCTGAGCAGCAGGGCCCCAGTTCAGATCCCACATGAGGGCCAGTGATGCTGTGCCCTCTACAGCTAAGATGGTGAACAACAGCTTGACCTGGAGCTGGGCTGCCATGAGTTGCCAGCGATGGCATATGCTGCAGTAGAGCTGCAGTGGGCTGCCATTAGCTACCGTGAGCAGCTGGCAGCCAGCATGTGCTGCCAAGAGCCACCATGAGTGGCTGTCCAGTGGCCAACAATCTATTTGCCTCACCCAGGAAGAGCGCAATGATAATACCAACATGGGCCAGTGAAGCGACATCCTCCACAACTAGATTGAAGAACAAAAGGACAGCAACTTGTCTGTTCCCCTCCCTCAATTCCCTGATAAAATCTTAAAAAAAAAAGTTGGCTTGGGATGCCAGCTCTGAGCAGCAGGGCCCCAGTTCAGATCCCACATGAGGGCCAGTGATGCTGTGCCCTCTACAGCTAAGATGGTGAACAACAGCTCAACCTGGAGCTGGGCTGCTGTGAGCTGCCGACGATGGTGTAGGCTGCAGTCCCTGCTGCAGTGGGCTGCCATAAGCTACCATATGTGGCCGGCAGCCAGAGTGAGTGGCCGGCAGCTGGTGTGAGCTGCCAAGAGCCACCATGAGCGGACGTTCAGAGGCCGGCGACTGATCTGCCTCACCCGGGAAGAACGCAATAATAATACCAACATGGGCCAGTGAAGTGATGTCCTCCACAACTAGACTGAAGAAAAAAAGGACAGCAACTTGTCTGTTCCCCTTCCCCGATTCCCCAACGCTGTTCCCTTCCCCCAATTCCCCAATAAAATCTTTAAAAAAAAAAGAATTTTTATAAGAGTTTATTTGAGCTAAAATTGATGACCTATGCGAGGGAGCAAGTTCTCAATTACTCTGTAGATAAAAGTTTTAGAGTTTTTGTTTGTTTGTTTGTTTGTTTTAATGTATTTGAAATTAAGGAAGGAATGTAAGGAAGGTTACATGGAGATGGGAGAAAGAAATGTAGGGATTGGATTACAAAATAGTTAAGATTATATGCTTTCATGCTTTAGAAGGAGGGGTCTAAAAAGGGGCATTTCAAACATGTGTTAACCTAGATGCACACAAACAATGGACAGGGCTTGCTTAAGGCAAAAATAAGCCTTTTACTAAAGAAGTTACATGCCTGGGGTGTAAATACTCACTATGACCTACCCAGTCAGGAATTTATTACGAGATCACCCTGTGAGGTTACTTTCCATAGAACCCCTTTTTCTTCCACATACCAGTATCTATCTTTAAAAATATATTGAGAATTTTTAGTCTAATATATGATCTATCCTGGAAAATGTCCCCTGTGATATGCTAGTATAAACCAGTCTTGCAAATCCCAAGATAAACTCAGCTACATCATAATGTATCATCTAGTTGAATCATTACTAGAAGTAGTTTGCTAATGTTTTGTTTAGGATTTTTGTGTTTGGAAAGTGTACTTCCTTTTATGTTTAGAAAGGACTATCAAGCTGAAAAAAGTTAGAGAGAGTTTCTCTTTTTCCCTTCTCTGGAAAGTTTGCATAATATTTACAATTAACAGTTCTTTGAATATTTAGTAGAACTTTTCTGAAAAGTCACCTGGACTTAGAGTTTTCTTATTGGGAAAAAAACTTAACTTTTATTACTTTACCATTATAGGACTATTCAGGCTTTCTATTTCTTTTTTACTACGTTTTAATAAGTTATAGTTTATAGCTATTTATACATTTCATTTAAATTTTCAATTTTGTTTGTATAAAGTTATTCATAGTATTACCCTTTATTTTTTACTTTTCAATTTGAGATATAATTGACATATAATTTTATATTAGTTTCAGGTATACAGCATAATGATTTGATATTTGTATGTATTGCAAAATGATCACCACAATAAGCCCAGTTAACATCCATCACCATACATAGTTCAAAAATGTTTTCTTGTAATGAGAATTTTTAAGATTTTTCTCTCTTAGCAACTTTCAAATATACAACACAGTATCATTAACTACAGTCACCATGCTGTACATTTCATCTCCATGACTTATTCATTTTATAAGTGTAAGCTTGTACCTTTTGACCACCTTACCCCATTTTGCCCACCCTTACCCCATGTCTCTGACAATCTATTCTCTGTATCTATAAGTTCATTTTATTGGTTTGTTTGGTTTTTTAAAAAAAATTTTATTGGGGAAGGGGGACAGTGTTGGAGAATTGGGGAAGGGGAACAGTCAAATTGTTGTCCTTCAATCTTAGTTGTGGAGGGCGCAGCTAGCTCAGCTCCAAGTCTAGTCACCATCTGATGGCCCGTCAGCAGTTCGCAGCCGCTCAGCTCAAGGTGCCGTGTTCAGCCTTAGTTGTGGATTAGCATAGCCCACCATCCCATGCAGGAGTCAAACTGGCAACCTTGTTGTTAGGAGCACATGCTCTTATCAGCTGAGCCATCCTGCCACCTGTTGGCAGCTCAGTGGCAGCTCAGCTAAGTGGCAGCTCAGCTCGGGCGCAGCTCACTGGCCCATGTGGGAATTGAACCGGCGACTGTTGCTCAGGGCTCGAACTCTTAACCAAGTCACCTGGCCAGCCCCTTGTTTGTTTGTTTTGATTTCACATGTAAGTGAAAACATATGGTATTTGTCTTTGTCTGATTTATTTCACTTAGCGTAATGCCCTCAAGGTCCAACCACGTTGTCACAAATAGCAAAATATCCCTTTTTTATGGCCGAGTAATATTCCACTGCATATATACACACCACATTTTCCTTATCCATTCATTCATGATGGACTTTTAGTTTGCTTCCATGTCTTGGCTATTATAAATAATGCTGATATCCTTTTATTTATTTATTTTTTAAGATTTTATTGGGGAGTTGGGAGAGGGGAACAGTGTTGAGGAATTGGGGAAGGGGACCAGCCGAGTTGTTGTTCTTCAATCTTTGTTGTGGAGGGCACCAGTCGCTATCTGGCTTTCCGTTGGCAGCTTGTGGCCTCTAAACTCAAGGTGATGTGTTCAGTCATAGTTTCGGGTGGGCATAGCCACCATCCCATCCATGCGGGAGTCAAACCAGCAGCCTTGTTGTTAAGAGAACACGCTCTATCCACTAAGCCATCCAGGCGGCAGTTCAAGGTGCTGAGTTCAGTCTTAGTTGCGGGTGGGCATAGCCCACCATCAAACAGGCAATCTAGACTGAAGAGCAACAACAAAAAACCCCAGCAATTTGTCTACCTGTCTGTTCCCCTTCCTCTATTCCCCAGCTCTGTTCCCCTTCCCCAATTCCCCAGTAAAAATCTTTAAAAAAAAAAATTCCAAAATAATTTTTGTTACTGGTTTCGAAGGTAATTGATTATGGTCAGAAAATGTAGTCTGTACATTGGTAATTCTTTGATATTTGTGAGGGCTAGCCTTATGGTCTAGTTAATGTTTGTAAATATCTTATGTGGGCTTGAAAAGAATGGTTCTTTCCTCCAATTTTGGGATGTAGTGTTCCATATTTGTCCATTATATCAAGCATTATTAATTATGCTATTTATAACTTCTGTATCTATGTTCCTTTTTTTTTGGTCTGGCTGTGAAAGCTGTTTTAATCTTTGATAAAAATGATGGATTTGTCGGTTTGCCTATAGATGGCTACTTTTAAAAGAAAAACTTCTAATCATTTGCAATTATATTAAATAAATCACATTTTGAGAATTTTCTAGCTCTTCTACCTTACCTGTTCTTTTTGCGTAAATCTTACCAGCCATTGCCCATTCTAATCTTGAATTGCATCCTGGGAGTCTCAGTGAAATATATACGATTGTTTTTGTTGTTGTTAAGATACAGTAAAAATAAGAGCTGCCATTTATGAACTACCCACCATGTGCCATGCATTGTCCTAGGTGCATTATTTACAATAAAAGTCCTTTTATCCAGCATGATTGGGACAGGAGGCTGATTAGTTCACTGAAAAAGTTGATTAAAGTAAGGAATTATTAAGAAATGATACATACTTTAAGCATTGTATTTGAACTTATGCTTACATGTACATTCACCAATCTTTATATATGATTCTGTTTAGTGGAACTTATCCTTCACACATTAACCCCACCTGTAATGCATTGTTAAGAACTCTAGTTTCTATTGATGTAAATTGGAGGGAGAACCCAAAGAAATCTTCAAAGCAATATGAGTGCAGAGTTACAGGTTTTTTATAATGTTTAACCAAACTTTATAGTTATCCCGCCCACACTTAATTTGATAACAATTGTTTAGTACCTTGTCTTTATGGAGTCACTTCAATTTTATAGAAACTTTTTTCTTGTCCTCAATTCCACCGGTTGATGTCATGTTTACATAATGTTTAATCAAACCACATAATTATACTAACAACTGATTAGTATAAACAGACTTGGGAATAAACTCATCTGACTGCTTATAAATATACAGCCCTAAACAATGGGAGCAGAGGTGTGACTGTAACAGAAAGGAGGTATCCAGCTGGGAGCGTTTTGTGTGCTGCTGGCATCGGCACACTGTAGAATCTCTTGTACTAATGATTTGTAAATCTGCACATTAGAGTGTAATGTAAAAAAAACACCAAAAACTGTAATGTTTTGCTATTGTTCTACAAATAATTGTTATAAATGTTCTTAATTCTTTTATATTTCAGAGAGCAAAACTTGAAGAAAACTGGGCTCAGGCTCAGCAAAACCAAGCAGATGAGAAACAAAAAAAGAAAAAAGAAGCATAACAGTCATAGTGAAATCATGGAGGAAAAGCCATATGAAACCTTAGGTTATCTAATGCCAGGAGATCAGGACCCATCACAGAGTAAAGGGGAGCACTTGGAAGAGATCAAAGAGGAGCGAGGGTGTACCGTCACTGGAAGTCTGGGAAATGAACCAGGAGATTTAGGGAATGGCCATAAAGATGAAAGATGGGAAAACATCAATCCTGAAGACAGTTTTCCAATTATTATGTCTGTAGTTGAGTCGGACAATACACCAAAGAATTACCTCTCAAAGGAAGATGATGACTTGTTTCTAAATTGTCATTGAGGTCAAATGAAAGCTCGGTTACTTGTCCAACAGTGACTGAAAATCTTTCCTGTGTCGCCCGGTGATGACTGCTCTCGCACGAAGGCAGAAAGCTTACTGGAAATAGGCATCCACAGTATTAGACATCCAGGACTGATTTGCCGAGAACCCTTGCTCGTTTATGCAGAAGAGGGAGATGATATATTAAAGTCTCCCGAATGAAACAATTCTGTGCTGTCGGTATGGACCCCGAACTTCAGATAAAGTTTAAAGAAAGGAGTAAATACAACTAAAAACAATAGGGACTTTTTTTTCTCAAACAATTTATCTGATGAAGAATTACAGCTGGTCTCTGATAGACAACCCTATTTTGGTAGCTGGCCTGAAGGACCTCATAAGTGTGTATGTGATCAGAGAGCAAAGAAAGATGGATGGCAAAAGCTGGCCTGCCCTGATGGCAGGGGGTGATTGATTAAATTGACACCCATTTCTGAAGGAGCCCTGGACCAGGAAGCAGTCCAGGAGCACTGACAGGAAAAGTTATTGATAGATAATGAAGATTTGTCACCTCCAACTGAGAACATAGATTCAATCATAGAAACAGAAACAAATATCTTTGGAAGCTGCTTAAACTGGCCATCTCAAAGAGTACCTTACATTCAGAATAAGAAAAGGAGGCAGGAAAGGGTTTTCAGTTTGGCACCAAACTTCACCTTACTGGGACAGAGTCATATCAGTGTAAGAGAAAGGGAGAAATGTGGCTTAGTCACAGAAAGCCATGGACTAAAACATTATTTTGGGAGAAGAAAAAGATAGAATTTCAGAAATAAATAATGAAGAGGAGACTCAGGAAAACCTTTGATCATCATCTATTATGGTTTTACTCTGATATTATCAAAGATACTGTTTTAAATGTTGGTGGAGAGTTTTACTCTCATTACCTGCCATTTAACAGGCTAAGGCACTCTGTGTGTTTTTACAAAAACCCTATTCGTTTTGGTGTACTACGGAAGGTATCTTTTACAAGGAAGATACCGTTTTTGACTTTCAAATCTCAGACAAGAGTAGGTAATAAACGAGATGACATAGGGTTTCTCCAGAAATTTTAAGTAGCCCACCTGATACTTTGTACACTTTTAGGATCACTCCCGATCTTCACTTTTTAAATGAAAGCTTTGGTGAAAAGCTGAAGCCATGGGCAGAGCCTCAGCCATGACAGTCTTTCCACACTGAGGAACACCAGATTCAACAGGCACTAACCTTGATGACCTTGAGCTACTATTGTCACCAGGGTTTGCCTTTCAACTGGTAAAGCTTTGTGGATCTATTTCCTGGAGTTCCAGTGGGTAAATTGTGCTTATTTGCTACAAATAAAACATCCTGTTTAACATATGTGAGTAGTTTTTCAGATGTTTCTACCTCGTGTTAGTGATTTCATGCAGTTAACTGATCATGTGATGCTTTTCGGCAGTGGGAGTGGAGGACCCACAGCAAATGGTGCTTGATCTTCATTCATGTCCCCTGCCCCCACCTCTGTGACCAATAGTCTTACATGTCTGAGCACGTAGCATACTTGGACTCTCAATTTAAACAGACACTGGGAAGAATGAAGGAAGAGGCAGGTAAACAGGGAGTATATAACAGATACAGAAGGACCACCATTTTTCTTCTTTAAAACTCTTTCTACTTTCCTTTATTTGGTACTTGGCCCTTTTCTTTCTCATTTACATTATGAGCCAGATATGAGAATAGTAAAGAAGGGGACGGTGAAGATTAAATGATGGGAAAAAAATAACCTGAAATAGTTGAATTTAATTTTTAAAGACTGTCTGAGAAGGGTACTGAAAAGGTTAGGAAGGGGTCTAACTGGTTGACTTGAAAGTTTCCTTCAGGCTCTTAAGATTGCTGGTTTTGGAAATGAAAATCCCACCTGTGAATAAAACAAGTGAAAATATTTTAAATTCTTAGTAAATTTCTTCTGAATAATAAGCAAATTTAAGATGCTAGATGTCTTAGGGAGGAAATGGAGCACATGTGCCAACTTTATCTCTAAGTCAACTGCATGTGTTACTGATTTCATGCAGTGGTGCATGTGCCCTCCCTCAGGAACAAGTTGTGGGAGTAAAGAAGTTAGGGCTTCAAGCCCTGCAGCTATCCTGTGTCTTCCTCATGTCTCTCTCCTGCACCCACCAGAGTGCCTGCACCCTGCTCCTCTCTCACAGCTTGTCTCCCAGAGGCTTTTACCCTGCTCTCTGGACAGACGTGGTCCCCGCAGCCACATCTCAGCGCCAGGATATCACCATGATCAGCCTGCCTGCTCTTGGGAGTCTGGTATCATGTTTATCATTTTTGTAAACTTTGTGAATAATCACATCTTCACTACTGCAATTTTCTATTCTAGATGCACCAAAGAAACATGTCAGTTTAAAAAATTAAAGTGCATTTGTTGCTTTGGGATAATTTAAAAAGATAATTGAAGTCATTTTAGGTCAGGGATCTTAGTTCAAGGTCTATATTCTGAAATTGCATGCAAAATTTTTTTGTGTTATTTTTCTGGGAGACAGAACATAGATTTTATCAGTTTCTCAGGGTAGGAGGGTGGTCCATAACCCAAAAGATGAACAATCATTGCCTTAGATCAGTACCAGAAAGCACTAAGGCATTCGTGGGAACAGACTCTAAACCTTCTCCTCCCTTGAATGTACAAGACCATCATAATCACCATGATGATCAAGCATCCATTAATTAAGCTTTGGGAAGCTTTTTAGAGGAAATAGACCTTGTTCACCAAATAGCTTACCTTCTAAATGAGGAGATGAGACTAACACAAAACAAAGTTATTGCACATAGAAAATATAAATGACAAGCTTATGAATATTTTATGAGTGAGGTTAGCAGTGCTAAAGGGATTGTGGGAGAGACGATGGGGTTATGGTTTTGCCTGGTATGGTTTTGCCTGGCATGGCTTATTTATGGAAGTGAGTTATAAGCAGTATTTATACAAATGTGGCTGAAAAGAAAGAGGGAAAATTTCACATTTGGAAATGGCATGTTCTTAAAAAAAGGGGAGGAGAAAACTTTAAGTAGAGGCTGTAGACTGATTTGTGTGACTAGGTTCTCTCTATGGTCCGTGGCCTTGTAAATGGGGCAGCGAACTCAAATGAATCACATGTCAGGAACGGTCCAGACACAGTGGGATGAAACAGTACAGCCCTGTATAGGCCTGAAGAAACCCAATTGCCCATGTTGCTAGAGATATGTGAGTATAGCAAAAATATTTTGTGTGGTTTGGACATTAATTGTTTGTGAGGATATTTCCCCCCCAGACACTCTTATGTGGAAGGAGCAATCTGCAAGACTAAAGTTGGTGTAGTTGCAATGTTTTATACATGTCACAGGAAAGGACGACTACCTAAATTTTATGCCCTGTGACAGTACCATATATATGTGGATATATATTCATATTTATATTTATAGTTATATTTAATGAGTTGTGTTGCATATTGTTCTTTCTATATATATGCATAAGCATTTTCATTGCGCTTAGATAGTGTTTACTAATAGAGGATAGAGGTCTGAGACAAACTAAGCTCCTGCTGTAGCTGAAATACCCTCAAAACCAGGCTTTTACCATTATGTCCCTCTAGATATCATGTTTGCACACCTTCACATTTAGGGTAAAAATCTGTGTGACAGTAGAGATAAAACTTGTTCCTTTTTTCCCACCCTCACAGTATCTTTGTAGCCTGATGGCTGCGTGGTTCCTGTCTACTGGAAGGCATTGAATATGATCTATCTGCAGTGGAAGACGTCAGTAGAGTTATGTTGTTATAGCTTTTAAAGAAGAACCTCAACTGGTTTCTTAAAAAAACAAATTGTAGAAAATCTGTTCATCAAATGTGATGTGAAAAGCTACATCCTTATATTAAATTAGAGAAGGAATGTGGAAGGGTGGATAATATATGCACGTTTCTTTCAATCGGTCCAAACGAGAAAGTCGCATTTAAGCCCCTAACTTTGTGTGGTGTGGGCTAGTGTGAGGACCAGTGGGTGATGAAGGTGCCTGTTTAGGAGAGTCCTTTGTTCCTCATTCCATCTTTTCTCCTGGCCAGCCCACCGTCTTATCCTGAGATGCTAGAGAAACAGCCACAGCTTAGGTTCCTGTGTACCAGCCTTGGAGGAGCCTCAGTGTTGTTGCTCTGTTGGTCCAGAATGAGAGACATGACTATTCTGACAGGCTGTTAGTTTCCCAAGTGGCTGGAAAAGGACTGGCTGGGAAGATTAGAAAGGTCACCGAGACCCTGGAAAGGCCAGTACTCTGTATAACGGAATGGGGACAGGGTGCTGGGGTTCTGTTTACAGTAGTTGATGGTGATTTAAATGTGCCCAGGGACAATGTTAGGGGTACATTTTGAGATAAATAGTAAATCAAGGTTTAGTGAGACATATAGAATTATATAATTCAGGGTAGTAGGTATTTCTTAACTGTTCATATTCGTACTGCTGGGGGAAAAGTGGATTCGTTTTGTGTGCCCAGTAAGTAAAACCAAATACATTTTTCTAAACTTCATATTTCTCCTCTTTCCCCATGGCAACCTTATTGCTGCCTGAACACACACACACACACACACACACACACACACACTCACACTCACACTCACACACACACACCCAATACTTTAAATTGACACTTATGGTTATTATGTTTCTTTCATCATTTCGGGAGTATTCCTACGAGAGTTAAATAATGGTGCAAACTTAACCCCAATGCCAAATATTAATCATTATTATGTTTTTAAATTATAATTTCTAGAAAATACAGAAGATGATCAGTTAAGACATGAGAATTCCTTGAACTGTAAGAACAACTTATTCCAGAGACCTCTATATGATCAGAAGGAAGTAAATATTGACATTATTTGGTTGTAATAGCTCATATGTATCACTATTAGGGAGTAAATATAAAAAATATATTCTGTTACCATAGCAACCCTGTGTGCTATTGCACACATAATGTTCTTATTTCCTTTAAATATAGATCTTCTTGTGAAATACAACAAAGCTGAGATTGTTGCTACCATATTTATTTTCCAACTTCATTGGTTAGAATGTATTTTGGAGCATTCTGTCAACACACGGTTTATAAGAGATTCACCACTGCTATGTGATGTGTGATGAGGGCTGGGAATTAGAGATCCAAGTTATATTTAAATATTAAGAGATTCTCTAGGAAAAGAGGTAAAACATGTAGATAAACTCATATTCTAAACTTGACATCAAGCTGAAATTAAAATAAACACAATGCACTTTTCCCCAAATGCCTAAATTATGAAATAAACACAGCTGCTACGATTTCAGTGTATATGTATCTGCATTTGATAAGAATTCAATGCACATACATTTACCATATGTTTTATCTCCATTTTAAGTCTTATTTCTAACAGTAGCCTCTTTCCCTTTCTTACCTAGAAATACACATATACCCAGTAAAAATATTTTCATTTTATTTTAAACCTAGCTCTGCCTAAAGAAGAAGGAGTAGAGATTTGGGAGAAGAGTTTAGAGATGTGAGGGACCACTAGAAAATGGGGGATAAATATGGCTAGGGAAGAGTAAGAGGCTCTGCGGCTCCACAGACCCGAGGCAGAGAACGCATTCATTGGTTCAACAAATATTCAAGTCGCATCAATTCAGATATTGTACACATGGAGGATCTAGGGCGAGAACATTCCTGCCCTCGAGGGGTTGATGTTAGAGGTTAGGAAGGGAGTGTCTTGTCTTCCGCCGCCAGGAGGTGGCCCCAGTGTGACACCAGTATAGGGACCAGCCTGGACACATCTAGCTGTGGCCAGTTGGGGAGTGTTCTATCTACCAAATTTGGATGTTTGTGTTGAGGACACTTTCTGAGCCACACTTTTGATTTTTATGTTCATCTTCCATATTCATGCAAAACTTCCCTCTGAATCTGGTCTTCACAGAGCAGTCACCCCTAATTACCAATGTTTTCTTCTTGAGGAATTTCATGAGTGTTGTGCAATGTACAGATTTTTTCAATTTTGAGAATCATAAACAATGAGAATGGGCCTTCCCGTTTTGTGCTTGGCATAAGGTACTGAGCAGTGCGCCTCGAGGGGTAAATAGAAATTTAGAAAGAAGGAATTTGCAAGAGAACATGTTGGGCTCTGGGCGCCACAAGTCCCTGCCTATTTCAAAACCCTCACTTCTTTAGGAGGTAGAGCAGTGCTGACTGTGTGACCTCAAATTACCCACTTGGAGGCTTGATTTCTACACCTGTAAGAAATACCGTATTTCCCTATGTATAAGATGCACCCTTTTTTGAAAAATTTGGGGTCTAAAAACTGGGCGCGTCTTATACAGTGGTTGTAGTTTTTTTAACTTGCATTTCCCCCTGAGGACGAGGCAATATATGAAGACAGTGATTCGTCATCAGATACAGATGAGGACAAGCTAATGGATGGGAGTTTTGACAGTGATGAGGCGTTGTATGAATTTTATGATGAATAAAACTTGAGTTCAATAACTTTATGTAATACATTTTTTTTTTCAAATTTTGGGCCCCAAAATTAAGGTGCGTCTTATACATGGGAGTGTCTTATACATGGGAAAATACGATAGCTTTATGGGGCTGGGCGAATGGTAGCTCAGTTGGTCAAGAGCACGAGCTCTGAGCAACAGGGTCACCGGTTTGATTCCCACATGGGTCAGTGAGCTGTGCCCGAGCTAAGCTGCCAACAAGCGACAGGATGGCTCAGCTGGTGAGAGTGCATGCTCTTAACAACAAGGTTGCCGGTTCGATTCTCATATGGGATGGTAGGCTGTGACCCCCCCACCCCTACAACTATGAACACAGCAACTGGACTTGGAGCTGAGCAGCACCCTCCACAACTAAGATTGAAGGACAACAACTTG